GTTGTCTTTCTTTGTTTTTCGTTTTGTTTCGTTTTTCTTCTTTTTTTAAAAGACGGAGTCTCGCCCTCTCGCCCAGGCTGGAGTTCAATGGCCGGATCTCGGCTCACCGCAACCTCCACCCCTCGGGTTCCGGTAATTCTCCTGCCCCAGCCTCCCAAGTCGCTGCGGTTACAGGCGTCTGCCACCACGCCCGGCTAATTTTTTTTTAACTTTTGTATGTGACCTCCGCAAGGGTGCCTGTCGCTCAGCTCTCTGTGGCTTCCTAAGTCGTGGTGACCTGATGACGTTCACCGTTTTCTTCCCCGAGCTCGGCGGGGAAACAGAAACTCCCAGGGATCCGTGGAAAAGCAGCAGCGTGTCGCTGCCCTTTCTATCCAGGTTGCCGAGACTCCCCGTGTGGCAGGAAACAGGAATGCCTCGTCAGGCCGTCTCTGCCCGGGAGAGTTTCTGTCTCCGTGCCTTCGCTCTCGTTTTCTAGAGGAACACGAACCGGATCCACGCAGCTGCGTGTGTGAGAGTGTCGCGGCCACGGCGACACCCACAGACGTGGACGCCTTGACGGAGAGGGGGGGCTTGGAAAACTCAGGCCTGTCACGGGGGTTCGCTTCTGCACGCCACCCTCCCTGGTGACGTGTTCGAGCCCGGAGAGAGGCTTCCAGTTTCCGTAGAATTCCTGGAGAACCCCAGAGGTCCAGCCCCCGAAGCCCCGCGTGTCCCTCCCCCGCCGCTCAGGCCCCACCCCCGACCACCCCACAGGGCCCTGGTGTCCCTGTGGTTTCCGGCTTGAGAGGGCGGGCTACCCCGCCCTGGGTCCCCGGAGCTCATGCAAATTCAGGAAGGGGTGGGGCCGCTAGGTCTCTATAAAAGCGGCCCCTGGCTGGCGGGGCCGGACTCCTGGCTTGACCTGCCTGCAGGTGCGGTGCACAGCAGAGGTTGGCTGAGGCGCGCGGGAGCCGCCGGGCCTCTGTGTGCCTGTGTCTGTCTGTGACACTCGGCCCGGTCTCCCCGCGATGGCTCTCCCCACAGCTCCCGGCAGCCCTCTCCCGGCGGAGGCCCGAGGGCGAGGAAGGCGAAAGAGGCTCGTTTGGACTCCGAGCCAGAGGGACGCCCTGCGAGCGTCCTTTGAGCGGAACCCGTACCCGGGCATGGCCACCAGAGAACAGCTGGCCCAGGCCATCGGCGTTCCGGAGCCCAGGGTCCAGATTTGGTTTCAGAACGAGAGATCGCGCCGGCTGAGGCAGCACCGGCGGGAATCCAGGCCCTGGCCTGGGCCACGCGGCCCGCCAGAAGGCCGGCGAAAGCGGACGGCCGTGACCCAGTCCCAGACCGCCGTGCTCCTCCGGGCCTTCGAGCGAGAGCGCTTTCCGGACTTCGCCACCAGGGAGGAACTGGCCAGAGAGACGGGCCTCCCGGAGTCCAGGATTCAGATTTGGTTTCAGAATCGAAGGGCCAGGCATCCAGGCCGGGCTGGCAGGGGACCCGCGGCCGCAGGCGGCCCGCGCGACACGGCCCCCGGCGGGCGCGGCTCCTCTGCTCGCTCCTGGGTCGCCTCCACCCACACCGGGGCGTGGGGGGCGGCGCTTCCCGCACCCCAAGTGCCCTGCGCGCCTGGGGCCCTCCCACAGGGGCCCGTCGTGAGCCAGGCAGCAGGGGCCGTGCCCCTGCTCCTGCACGGACAGGCCCCACAGGCAGAAGGAATCTCGCAACCTGACCCGGCGCTCGGGGCCCTCGGGGCTTTCGGGTTCGCCGCCCTGGCTCCTTCGGGGGTGGCGCTCCCCCAGCCTCAGAGCCTTCCGGGGCCTCCGCACCCGGGCAGATGCCACGAGGAGCGGGAGCCGCAGCACGCCGGCCTGCCGGGGACGTGCTCCGTGGGACAGCTTGGGCCCGCTCAAGCCGACTCACAGGGGCGAGGTGTGCAGGGTCCCTGGTGGGGCTGGGGCCAGGGGCCCCAGGTGGCCGGGGCGGCAGGGGAACCCCAAGCCGCGCCACCTCCACCTCCGCAGCCCGCACCCCCGGAGGCCTCCGCCTGGCAGGGGCAGATGCCAGCCCTGCAGGCGCCTTCCCAAGCGCTCCAGGAGCCGGAGGAGCGCTCGTCTGCGCTCACCTCCAGCCTGCTGGACGAGCTCCTGTCGACCCCAGAGTTTCAGCAGCAGGCACGACCTTTCCTAGAGACGGAGCCACTGGGGGAGCTGAAGGAGGTGGAAGAGCTCGCTTCCCTGGAGCCACCCCTCAGCGAGGAAGAATACCGGGCTCTGCTGGAGGAGCTTTAAAAGGCGCGCGCGGGTCGGGGAGGGGTGGGGGCAGGGCGGTGGCCTCTCTCCCGCCGTGAGGTGACCGTGTGGCTCCGCTTCCAGCGGCGTGTCTTGGCGTCTCGCCCTCCCGCTGACCTGTCTGGGATCCCTGAGTGCCAGGTCCGTCCGTCCGGTGAGAGACTACACACAGGGCAGGGCTGTGCCGTCCTTCTATCCCGGGCATCTTGGGGACCCCAGAGCCCGCCCAGGGCCCGGGAGCTGGGCGGTCTAGTGCGCCGGCGCGGGTCTGCAGGCAGCCCGCGGCGCTGCGCTTCGGGGGACCAGCGCAGGCAGAGCTGTCGTCCCTCCTCGCAGCCCTGCCCCCACGCCACCCCGCGTACTTCAGGAGGGTGGGCAGAGGGGGCGCTTTGCCCGGGAAACACCGGGCCGGGTCCGAAGGCGGGGCCGCTCTCCAATCCGCGACACGCCTCTTCTTGCCTCCCCGCTCCGCCCACCCATCACTGGCACACCGGTAACCCGCCAGCCTCCCCCTCCCACCGTCACGGAGCAGCGCCGGGCAGCCCAGTGCGGCCCCGAGACCACCCTTCCCCCCACCCCCAACCCCGTCTACCCCGCGAGCAAACGCTTGGACTGCCCTCTCCAGGCGCGAGGGATGGCGGCTAGAGATGGGGAGAGGATCCCAGGACCAGAGGGAGGGACGAGTGAAGGGAGGAAAGGACGGAAGGGAGAGAGGGAGGAAGGGAGGGAGGCAGGGACCGAGGGACAGGGAGGGACGCACAGGGAGGGACCCAGGGAGCGAAGGGAGGGTGAAAAGGAGAAAGAGAGAAAGGGGGAGAGAAAGGAAGAAACCGAGGTTTGGAGGGACTGAGGAAGAAAGGGAAAGACGGGAACAGGGTGGAACAGAGGGGGAGAGAGAGGGACCACGGGACAGAGGGACATAGGCAGAGATTAGAGCGGTCTCCTGCCTCCAGGACCAACGGAGGGACCCCACAGCCTTAAAGCATTTCGGGAGCTCAATGCGATGCGTGCCAGTCCTCGTTTCACCCACGGGGTTCACAGACGGCATATCCCCACGGCGAACCCTGCAACGGAGCGCGAGGCAGTCTCATCCCCACAGGGGTCACCCTCGGGCCGATTGAAGCGTGATTTCCGACTTCAGCCTGTGATCGGCTGGGTGTGCGCGTGCGCGCGTGTGCATGGATTTGAGGCTCCTGCGGCCTGTCTTGCCGTTTCGCTGACCTGCCTGGGAGCCCTCAGTTCTAGGTCCGTCCGGTGAGAGACAGCACACAGGGCGGGGCTGTGCTGTCATTCTCTCCCCAGCATCTAGGGAACCCCAGAACCCGCCCAGGGCCCGGGAGCTGGGCGGTCTAGTGCGCGTGCGCGGGTCTGCAGGCAGCCCGCGGCCGCTTCTGGGGACCAGCGCAGGCAGAGCTGTCGGCCCTCCTCGCAGCCCTGCCCCCACGCCACCCGGCCTACTTCAGGAGGGTGGGCGGAGGGAGCGTTTCGCCCCCCCCCCCGGAAACACCGGGCCGGGTCCCCAGGCAGGCCGGCTCTCCATTCCGCTGCACCCCTCTTCTGCCTCCCCGATTCGCCCACCGATCACTCGCACACCGGTGCCCCGCCAGCTTCCCCGCCATCACCGAGTAGCGCCTGGCAGCTCAATATAGACCCGAGACCACTCCTCCCACGGCCCCGCTACGAACGACCCCGCGGGCAAACGGAAGGGCTGCTTTCTCCAGGCCGGAGGGAAGGCGGGTAGAGAAGCGGGGAGGATCCCAGGCCGCGAGGGAGGGACGAGGGAAGGGAGGGAAGGACGCAAGGGAGAGAGGGAGGGGGAAGGGAGTGAGGGAGGGACGGAGGGTGGGGGGTAGGGTGGGACCCAGCACCTAGGTCGTGTGACACTGTCCTCCTGCCTTGGCACCTCATGCTTGGGGCTTTGGGACATATGTCTGTGCTCATAACTAGGATGCTGTGATTCCCTTCTCTTGCCTCATATCTGCTCACATAGGAGTCAATAACATATTGCTGGGCCCGCCATCCAGTTACATTCCTTCTCTGTCATGACCCTCTTCTCAGAAAGCATTGCGACACACTGTTGAGTCCACAGTCAATGTGATGTGAGTCCCCTGCGTGAACCCTGCCCACAGAGACCATTGTGACGTCATGTCTGGGGACTCAACTATTCTCAGTGATTGTCTTGTTACCCCTGCTCTTTGCCCACAGGAGCGGATGTGGCTTGTCTCTGGGCCCAGCACCCAGGTGAGGTAACTGTGCTCGCCTGACTGGGCTGCGCTTACAAAAGAAAGAGTGACTTGTCACCGGGCCCGGCACACAGGCGATGCGGTCCCCTTGTCTGGGTTCTCGTCCACAGGTATCATCATGACATACTTTTGGTCTCTTCTGCTGGGTGGCCTGTGTCGCCCCCTTCTTCCTGGGAAGTGTCCACCGACACTGAAATGGAACATTTCACCTGACTCAGCACCTACACGACCTGTCTCTCGTATTACGCCTTGGCTTTTCCCACCGGGCTGATTGGGACATACAGCTGAGCACAGCCTCTAGGCTATTTAACTCTTCTCTTCTCACGTGGTCCTACCCACAGGAGGTATTGGGATATATTTCTAAGCACTTCACCTAGGTAATGACCCTTTTTGGGGCTTTCCCCGGATACGGTACGGTGACCTATTTCTGGACCAGCACCGAGGCGATGTCCCTCATTTCTCCTACCTGTTGCCTGTTAGGGCAAAGGAATTCCTAGGGGTGTGAGTCTACAGAAACCGCGATTCTTGCCTCCTCAGGAGAAACGACTCCACCGAGGGCCGTAAAGCAGGAGAGTTTCCGAGCAGCAGTAAACGTGTATGAAGAAGCTTCGGAAGCGGAAGAGAAGGAGGGAAAGTACGCGTGGCAGAGTGCCAAGAGGATGACTCACAAGGCAAAAGCAGGATGCGACCTTTCGACCTGGCGTTTTATATGTTGGAATGCCTCTGGGTTGTGGTTGTTGGTCGCGGTGTTGTCTTTCTTTGTTTTTCGTTTTGTTTCGTTTTTCTTCTTTTTTTAAAAGACGGAGTCTCGCCCTCTCGCCCAGGCTGGAGTTCAATGGCCGGATCTCGGCTCACCGCAACCTCCACCCCTCGGGTTCCGGTAATTCTCCTGCCCCAGCCTCCCAAGTCGCTGCGGTTACAGGCGTCTGCCACCACGCCCGGCTAATTTTTTTTTAACTTTTGTATGTGACCTCCGCAAGGGTGCCTGTCGCTCAGCTCTCTGTGGCTTCCTAAGTCGTGGTGACCTGATGACGTTCACCGTTTTCTTCCCCGAGCTCGGCGGGGAAACAGAAACTCCCAGGGATCCGTGGAAAAGCAGCAGCGTGTCGCTGCCCTTTCTATCCAGGTTGCCGAGACTCCCCGTGTGGCAGGAAACAGGAATGCCTCGTCAGGCCGTCTCTGCCCGGGAGAGTTTCTGTCTCCGTGCCTTCGCTCTCGTTTTCTAGAGGAACACGAACCGGATCCACGCAGCTGCGTGTGTGAGAGTGTCGCGGCCACGGCGACACCCACAGACGTGGACGCCTTGACGGAGAGGGGGGGCTTGGAAAACTCAGGCCTGTCACGGGGGTTCGCTTCTGCACGCCACCCTCCCTGGTGACGTGTTCGAGCCCGGAGAGAGGCTTCCAGTTTCCGTAGAATTCCTGGAGAACCCCAGAGGTCCAGCCCCCGAAGCCCCGCGTGTCCCTCCCCCGCCGCTCAGGCCCCACCCCCGACCACCCCACAGGGCCCTGGTGTCCCTGTGGTTTCCGGCTTGAGAGGGCGGGCTACCCCGCCCTGGGTCCCCGGAGCTCATGCAAATTCAGGAAGGGGTGGGGCCGCTAGGTCTCTATAAAAGCGGCCCCTGGCTGGCGGGGCCGGACTCCTGGCTTGACCTGCCTGCAGGTGCGGTGCACAGCAGAGGTTGGCTGAGGCGCGCGGGAGCCGCCGGGCCTCTGTGTGCCTGTGTCTGTCTGTGACACTCGGCCCGGTCTCCCCGCGATGGCTCTCCCCACAGCTCCCGGCAGCCCTCTCCCGGCGGAGGCCCGAGGGCGAGGAAGGCGAAAGAGGCTCGTTTGGACTCCGAGCCAGAGGGACGCCCTGCGAGCGTCCTTTGAGCGGAACCCGTACCCGGGCATGGCCACCAGAGAACAGCTGGCCCAGGCCATCGGCGTTCCGGAGCCCAGGGTCCAGATTTGGTTTCAGAACGAGAGATCGCGCCGGCTGAGGCAGCACCGGCGGGAATCCAGGCCCTGGCCTGGGCCACGCGGCCCGCCAGAAGGCCGGCGAAAGCGGACGGCCGTGACCCAGTCCCAGACCGCCGTGCTCCTCCGGGCCTTCGAGCGAGAGCGCTTTCCGGACTTCGCCACCAGGGAGGAACTGGCCAGAGAGACGGGCCTCCCGGAGTCCAGGATTCAGATTTGGTTTCAGAATCGAAGGGCCAGGCATCCAGGCCGGGCTGGCAGGGGACCCGCGGCCGCAGGCGGCCCGCGCGACACGGCCCCCGGCGGGCGCGGCTCCTCTGCTCGCTCCTGGGTCGCCTCCACCCACACCGGGGCGTGGGGGGCGGCGCTTCCCGCACCCCAAGTGCCCTGCGCGCCTGGGGCCCTCCCACAGGGGCCCGTCGTGAGCCAGGCAGCAGGGGCCGTGCCCCTGCTCCTGCACGGACAGGCCCCACAGGCAGAAGGAATCTCGCAACCTGACCCGGCGCTCGGGGCCCTCGGGGCTTTCGGGTTCGCCGCCCTGGCTCCTTCGGGGGTGGCGCTCCCCCAGCCTCAGAGCCTTCCGGGGCCTCCGCACCCGGGCAGATGCCACGAGGAGCGGGAGCCGCAGCACGCCGGCCTGCCGGGGACGTGCTCCGTGGGACAGCTTGGGCCCGCTCAAGCCGACTCACAGGGGCGAGGTGTGCAGGGTCCCTGGTGGGGCTGGGGCCAGGGGCCCCAGGTGGCCGGGGCGGCAGGGGAACCCCAAGCCGCGCCACCTCCACCTCCGCAGCCCGCACCCCCGGAGGCCTCCGCCTGGCAGGGGCAGATGCCAGCCCTGCAGGCGCCTTCCCAAGCGCTCCAGGAGCCGGAGGAGCGCTCGTCTGCGCTCACCTCCAGCCTGCTGGACGAGCTCCTGTCGACCCCAGAGTTTCAGCAGCAGGCACGACCTTTCCTAGAGACGGAGCCACTGGGGGAGCTGAAGGAGGTGGAAGAGCTCGCTTCCCTGGAGCCACCCCTCAGCGAGGAAGAATACCGGGCTCTGCTGGAGGAGCTTTAAAAGGCGCGCGCGGGTCGGGGAGGGGTGGGGGCAGGGCGGTGGCCTCTCTCCCGCCGTGAGGTGACCGTGTGGCTCCGCTTCCAGCGGCGTGTCTTGGCGTCTCGCCCTCCCGCTGACCTGTCTGGGATCCCTGAGTGCCAGGTCCGTCCGTCCGGTGAGAGACTACACACAGGGCAGGGCTGTGCCGTCCTTCTATCCCGGGCATCTTGGGGACCCCAGAGCCCGCCCAGGGCCCGGGAGCTGGGCGGTCTAGTGCGCCGGCGCGGGTCTGCAGGCAGCCCGCGGCGCTGCGCTTCGGGGGACCAGCGCAGGCAGAGCTGTCGTCCCTCCTCGCAGCCCTGCCCCCACGCCACCCCGCGTACTTCAGGAGGGTGGGCAGAGGGGGCGCTTTGCCCGGGAAACACCGGGCCGGGTCCGAAGGCGGGGCCGCTCTCCAATCCGCGACACGCCTCTTCTTGCCTCCCCGCTCCGCCCACCCATCACTGGCACACCGGTAACCCGCCAGCCTCCCCCTCCCACCGTCACGGAGCAGCGCCGGGCAGCCCAGTGCGGCCCCGAGACCACCCTTCCCCCCACCCCCAACCCCGTCTACCCCGCGAGCAAACGCTTGGACTGCCCTCTCCAGGCGCGAGGGATGGCGGCTAGAGATGGGGAGAGGATCCCAGGACCAGAGGGAGGGACGAGTGAAGGGAGGAAAGGACGGAAGGGAGAGAGGGAGGAAGGGAGGGAGGCAGGGACCGAGGGACAGGGAGGGACGCACAGGGAGGGACCCAGGGAGCGAAGGGAGGGTGAAAAGGAGAAAGAGAGAAAGGGGGAGAGAAAGGAAGAAACCGAGGTTTGGAGGGACTGAGGAAGAAAGGGAAAGACGGGAACAGGGTGGAACAGAGGGGGAGAGAGAGGGACCACGGGACAGAGGGACATAGGCAGAGATTAGAGCGGTCTCCTGCCTCCAGGACCAACGGAGGGACCCCACAGCCTTAAAGCATTTCGGGAGCTCAATGCGATGCGTGCCAGTCCTCGTTTCACCCACGGGGTTCACAGACGGCATATCCCCACGGCGAACCCTGCAACGGAGCGCGAGGCAGTCTCATCCCCACAGGGGTCACCCTCGGGCCGATTGAAGCGTGATTTCCGACTTCAGCCTGTGATCGGCTGGGTGTGCGCGTGCGCGCGTGTGCATGGATTTGAGGCTCCTGCGGCCTGTCTTGCCGTTTCGCTGACCTGCCTGGGAGCCCTCAGTTCTAGGTCCGTCCGGTGAGAGACAGCACACAGGGCGGGGCTGTGCTGTCATTCTCTCCCCAGCATCTAGGGAACCCCAGAACCCGCCCAGGGCCCGGGAGCTGGGCGGTCTAGTGCGCGTGCGCGGGTCTGCAGGCAGCCCGCGGCCGCTTCTGGGGACCAGCGCAGGCAGAGCTGTCGGCCCTCCTCGCAGCCCTGCCCCCACGCCACCCGGCCTACTTCAGGAGGGTGGGCGGAGGGAGCGTTTCGCCCCCCCCCCGGAAACACCGGGCCGGGTCCCCAGGCAGGCCGGCTCTCCAT